TAAGTGGACATCGGGCGATAGTTCAGCCGATGAGGCGACAGCAGTGGAGCAAGGCGAGGAGGCGATTTTGGGGGGAACCCTCGAGCAAATCGAAAATCAGTTCTTTTCGGCAGCTACTTATTTACCGCATGCAATTGCCGAGGATCGAATCTCGCGCGAGGATCAGCTCTTTTTCTATGCTCGTTACAAACAAGTGGCCCACGGTAAAGCCGGTAAGTGGACTTCTAAGCTCACCCATAACTAACAGTCAGATGTTCATTTTTGTGCAGAATATATTCGTTTCTGAGCTAAATGGGATTGAGGCAACCAGGTGCCGGAATCCTCTGTACCGGTCGTCAAGTCTTGTCATCCGAAATTCGTCGCGTGTGGCACAAAAGTAACCGAAAAGCATCCGAAGGGTGGACATTGCTCATCGGTAGCCGTTGTTTCCTAGAAGATGTAAAGCTGTAGAGATATGAATGTTTACTTTCTCGGGGAACTAGGGGAATTCCAGTACTTTTCTCAGAACGTATTTTCGAAAGTACTTTTAGATCCCAGCAAACGGCCGGGACTCTTCGATCTTGTACGCCGCGAGAAATTCGATAGTTGGGCAAAACTTGGCGACATGTCAGCTGAGGAAGCAATGAGACAGTACGTCAGCAAACTGCATTCGCTGAATGTTGGATGGGATCCGACCAGAAAATACAATTCCGGCTTTGGCCTAAGGCCAAGCACAATGGCTGAGGCAGACTCCAGCGAGGTAAAGCTTTTGTTTAGAGGCATTTTCCTCACACTCAAACAGTCAGGTTTATGAGTTGGGATTCATTAAATTAGTGCATTTTGGTTTCGGATTCATTGTGAGTTTTCTCTTAAGGTGCCGTAATTGAGGATTTTTTACGGGTGAGTATCCCTGCCCCCTTCTCCCTCCGCTTCTTTTTCCGCTTTCTTCACACAGTGGTAAGAGGGAAGGGGAAATGAGAACACCCACTGAGTTTTTTGGGAAGAGAAAGAGAAATGAGGTGTTTGCTCAATTTTGCTTAGTTTCAGTTTACATTAGACACTGAAAAGTGATAATCCGCTTAAAAAAAGTCATTGATAAAATTATTGATTTAGTTTTATCAGTACAATCTTCACTCTGTCGCTAAGTCCAAGCTTCTGTCTATTTTTTTTTACCGCCTTTCACATTTAAAGACAAATTAAAAAGTTTTGCCCATATGCTAATTGTCCTTGCAGTCTTGGCAATCTTAGTTTCTTGAAAAATTTCAGCAGAAGCGAGGTTTGTCTCCAAATTTCTCATTTAAGGGGACTGTGTCTGTGTGTTTCAGACAGAATCTTCCGGCATGAGTTCCGAGCAACTGGAATGGTTTGCTGCTTTGGATGAAGGTAACATTGAAAAGTTAAAAGAACTTTTATCTGGCAGTACTGCACTCCTGGAAGAAAGGGATGAAAATCAGGTAAATTCATTCCTCATTCCCCTCAGAATAGTGATAAATCTGTTTGATTTTCTTTCGGATAAGAACTGTTTCCTTGGAGCCCCGTGTGCTGTTGTTTTTTGCTTAATTAATCATTTTCCAAGTGAAAAGTGCCACATTTTTTTCAAATTCTTTGAAAAATTCGAAGCTTTCTTGATGGTTTTTTTCATTTTTTTGAAAAGTCAGGATGCTTCCTTTTCTCCATTGCCACTTCCTCTAAAGGAATGAATGTGGAGGTATCCAGGGCATGATTTGTCGTTTTGGCGAGGAATTTGAAGTGATGCTGTCGGTATTGCTGAGATTCAGTCGGCGGTTTCCAAAAAAAAAAAACAAGGTGGCCAGTTTGCTTATAATTCCAGTTAACTGCTTTGCATTGGGCTGCCGATCGTGGAAAATTGGAACTCGTTGATTTTCTGATTGGT